TAAGAGAGGCATTTCCGTCAAGCGATTTTATTCCGCTGATTTATTACGAACCAGTCACGTAAATGTAATGTAATTTGCTGTGATGGTTATTATGGGAAAAGTTTAGACTTGATTACATTTTGATGAATTTCAATTCCATATTATTTGATAATTTGGTAATTTGCATAATCACGTGTGTTGAACATCACCCTCGCTAAGGACTCTATCACATTACTTTTATTATGTGCGATGCTATCAAAGATCTTGTTATTTTTCTTTTAATTTTTAATTTATCGTTCTCCTCCCAATTTTATTTATTTGTACTCTATAATTACAATTATTATATAAATCCGAGCTAAAATTCATTGGTTTTTACCTGCAATATATATATATACATATTCTTGAATATAAAACATTGCTATATATGGCATAAATTAAATATATTCCTAACAATAACAAAATTTGTGTATAATAATATTAAAAATATTCGGACTAACGAAAAAAATATATTTCAATTTATATTACATTATTAATATTATTAAATATTTAACACATTTTATTGATTACTAAATTAAATTATTTTATATATATTTAGGTATTTCACTAAGTTATATTTGGTACAAAATTATATATTTTTACATTATATATAAAATGATATATATTTATATATATATATATTATATATATATATATATATGTCTCCAATATAAATTGCTATTTTGCTTTTAAAAACAAAGTATCTTTAATAAGGCAAGATATTTATATATAGAATAATTTAAAAATATTCGGGGCCTAACGAATATATTTCAATGTGGTAAATTAGGAGAATATTTAAAAATATTAGTCTTTCAAAATAAATTTTGCTGATTGTTTAAGTATATTTTTTTCTAAAGTTTTTGGTAAAATTATTAATTTTTGCAAAAAAAAGAAAAATATTACCTAACCTTAGATAAAAAAGACTTAATTTAATATTTTAGCCTTTAACCCAACTTAAATATTTTAGATTTGTTTACATATAATTTAATACTATATAAATATAGTGAATATATTTTTTTTATATATTTGAGTGATTTTCGGCGAAATTAATGGTCATACAAAATTTTAAATTGTCTTTCTATCAAATTTTTATACGTTTGGTATTTTTTTTTCATTAAGGATGAAAAGTTCTGAATTTCGGCACGACTTATAAACCTTATTATAATAAGAGCAATTTATTTTATACCAATAATATATATTTAGATTTGTTTAATATATTTAATATAAATAACACATAATATATTTTTTTGTTTGTGTCTAGTGATTTTGGGTTATTGTAATTTTCGCTTGTCTATATGGCATGTGAGCGTTGCTATTAAGCCAGATCGCAGTTCTGCTATTCGGCACGACATATATTATATGTATATTATATATATATATATATATATATATATATATATATATAATTATATTATATATATATATATATATATATTATAATGTGTGTGTGTTGTGTGTGTGTGTGTGTGTGGTTGTGTGTGTGCGTGCGCGCGCGCTACCGGGTTATTTTTCACTGGTTATTTATTTTAAGGTTATTTTTATTGGAATTATCTTTATTTTTTTCAGATTTGATTATATTCGGTATTGTTAAGACGTTACACTTACAGTCATGTATATACAACCAAAAGTGTCTGTCACTATATATACACATGGAGCTTTGACCATGATTTTATTTATAAAATTATTCGTGAATATAACCTACAAGTAAATTCCATCCATAATAACCAGAGTGCAGACGACGAGACTTAAACTTATCGAAAGAATCTCTACTGTGTCACGACAAACACGAAGTAAACGGAATGCTAAATATTTCAGGCAGTGACGTATGTTAATATGGTGACGGGAACGCACTAAGTCCGTAAGGGTCATGCAATGCCAGAGGAACGAGCTGAGGAACGAGCTAGGGAAGAGGAAGGTGACTCCGTTTGGTAGTGAGGAAGGCAGCTCTATTTTGTAGTGAGGAATGTTAGTTAAGAAAATACAGTTTTATCCTCGAAGCTCTTCAACCCGGGTTGACATTTCCTGCTTTCCTTAACTTGTTTTCGTTAGGTGAAATTGCCTTAAATCTACATACTCATTAACGTCCTTCGGTTTTTGCCTGCTGATCGATATTGGCTGGTAATTTGCAAATTCATTAGCTTCGTTGTTAATTATGTCCATCTGCTTCGTTAACCTCTTACATTCTTTTTTTTTTTTTTGAGATAGAACATGATGTTTTTTAAGGACAAGGAAAAAGCTCTAAGCAAAATATGTTAACATTTAAACCACACGTATTCAGGAAGGAATTAAAAAAAAAAATCTCAAGCCATTAAAAACGTTTCTGAAGAAATGTTTTCTTAACCAACTCTTCATTCCTAACTAAATATTTTTTTCTTTATCAAACTCCTAATTTGTAATTAAATTCCCCGCCTCTTATTATTGAATTACTTATATTAGGAAGTGTGTTGATGTGTGTTTAAATCATATGATCACAAACTTACGAATATTTTAAAAACTGCGTCATCGTTTAAATAGTTGTCCCTTTGATTCAGAAATAGTTGTGGTTGAACACTTTTCGCCGAATTATGGCAACTATTTTTAAGCGCATCATTAATGTTAGAATCCTAAATGTTTATTTCATATTATATATTTGTAATAATATTTGCGCCCCACCTTGCCTATAGGGTAGATGAAATCTTCAAAATCAAGGAGTACTTAAAAATAGTTATATTCGAAACATCGACTGATTTTAAGACAGACAACATTTCAGCCTATACAACAGGCAATTTCGTCTCAAAAAATATTTTCCTCAATATTGTGTCTGTTACAACCCAGTTCACATTAATAAATTTTTAAAAACTAGAGGATCATTATAAAGATATACAACCTACTTAAGAAATTAAATATAATTTATGTGAAGCGCTAGACCTGTGTGGGTCATCCAGCGCAAAGAATGGCGCAGAATCCTGATCCTACATCCGCTAATAAGCCAGCCAGGATAAGGGAAGGAGTATAGACAGCAGCTGTAGTGACGACGCTGTAAAATAGTCTTTAACAGAAACTCTTAAGGTGGGCAGTTAACAGTGATCCGGATGCTGTGGTGGTAGTTTGATTAGCGGTTATAATAGCGAGAAAGAGAGCAGGGTTCATTATAGCAGGTTCTTTATAGCTAAGATGCGGTCTAGGAGCAATGAATCATTTTCCATCAAGACAAATTGGTGAATGCACCCCCACACACACACACGCCTCCTCTCCTGTGTGTGTGTGTGTACTCACCTATTTGTGGTGTGCGGGGTCGATCTTAGCTCCTGGCCCCGCCTCTTCCGGTTGTACTGGCCCTCTCTCCCCGCTCCATGAGCTTTATCAACTCGTTTAATGTGTATGGTTCTGCCTCACTACGTATTTTTAGGCTATCCACTGCCTACACTTATGTACTAAGAAATACTTCAATATCTCTCTGACTATTTGTGTCTTCACTTCCAATTGGGCTCTTGTCTGTGTCCTCACGTGTCCCCTTTCTTTGTGTTGTGTGTGTGTTGTGTTGGTGTGTTGTGTGTGTTGTGTGTGTGTGTGTGTGTTTGTGTGTGTGTGGTGTGTGTGTGTGTGTGAGGTACGTACGTGCGTTCGCACGCGCGCGTATTCCTGCGCGTCAACACCAACTGAATCACAATATAAAACATCACACCAAACCTGTCTGCCGAATCGCAGAAACAGAATAGCACCAGCTGCGTCCGCCAGACTACAAACGTAAGAATGGCTTTTAGCGCTGTGAACAAAGAAACCTTCAAAGCAGGACTCACTTCATATGCAAGATTGATCTGCGAGTACACAACTCCAGTGTAGAGCCTCGCTCCGGGAAAATAAATTTAGTGCCTGAAATTGGTAATGAAAAAAAAAAACTATGAAGAAACGCTTAACGAACTTGATTTTTACGTCTTCTGAAGAACGGAGAACAAGAGGAGACAAATTCACAACGTATAAAATACTCCGTAACATGAACAAGGTGGTCCGACGCAGATTATCCACATATAGGCGAGCACGTATACTAATGCACGCGCGCACACACGCACGCACGCACCACGCACGCCACACACACAACACACACACACACACACACACACACACACACACACACACACACACACACACGCGCGCAACCACACACACACCTGTAAGATAAACTTGTAACCAAAGCTTTAAACAATTTACTACGTTTTCTTTTGCTTGTACCCACCAGCACCCCTCTCTCTTTTTTTTCAGCTGGAATGAACGGTGTGACATTGACTTCTGGTGAACTGGGTCAGTTCCTGACTCGCTTCTCTCTCTCTCTCTCTCTCTCTCTCTCTCTCTCTGTGTGTGTTTTGATTGCGGGGTTCGAGTCTCAGCTCCTGGCCCGTTTTACTCAATATACCCGTGTCAGTCTGTGAATGTCTTTTAATTTACAGAGGTGTGTCTGTGTCAACGTCTGTACGTTTGTGTCTGTGTATGAGAGAGAGAGAGAGAGAGAGAGAGAGAGAGAATCTGTGAGTTACTCTCGCATTTAACAATGAATACAGACATGAAAGCTGTTTTTCTTGAGCAGTGATGGCGGTGCTTAAGATGGCGGTCCGGCTACACCAGCACCAAGCTAGTTATGCTGCCTCCGTCACACAGCCAAGACTCCGAGAGTCATTATGCCTGTGTTATATTCTAGGGATGTTTTCCATTCTTAGAATTTGTAGGCATGCAGACATGGAACAGAATGCAAGGAATAGTTTTCGTTTATTAGTGTGTGTGTGTGTGTGTGTGTGTGTGTGTGTGTGTGTGTGTGTGTGTGTGTGTGTGTGTGTGTGTGTGTGTGTGTGTGTGTAGGTATAATATCGCCTTGAAGTCATCTCTCATGACATCTAATTCCTCCCTCTTGTCTACTGCATCTCTTTTTCCGGCTTTCACTCTAGGATTCCATCTTGATTTTTTTATTCATTTTCATATGTTAAATCTCACCCTTACTGTTATATGTCTTTCAGGTTCTCCTGCACCAGTGTCTTACTTTTCTCTCTGGTAACGTAATAATATTATGCAAATCAGTGTCCTTTGTAGGACAGTATCACACACCCTCTAGAAGTCTAAGAAGATGCGGTCTGCCACTGTTGTGTCATTGCCTGTGTGTAGCTACTCGAGCAAAGGTACACCCGCTGTGTGCTGTCATTACTTGACGATGGTTAGTACAGTCAGTTATATTATTATAACCATGAGGAGGTGTTAAAAATGTAAGGGTTATATAGCACCTGAGGAAGGGGAGACGCTAAGGCTTGATTAGAGGAAGGGAAAGGTATCGCAACTACTTATAGACCCTGTGTTCCACTTTTACCCATGTCCATCACATGACTTTTTTTTATTTTTACTTTATTTCATTAAGTAATAGTTTGCAAGATATTACAGTTAATTTGATAAAATACTTTCGTATCATTCACTATTGTTTCTTGCAGATTATTTGTACATTGGAAAAATTGTGCAGTACGATCCTTATGGCACCAACTTACTTGCATTACACTAATAAAAGCATTGTGTTTATAAGCATATATGTGCTTGCATACCTATATTAAAACTAAATATTATGATTATTATTATTATTAGTAATAAATGTGGCTTTAGGATTTTCAAAATATTATTAGAAATATTTTATGAAACAGATAAAAGGTGGTGATAATGTTTGGAAGCAGCAACCTTTCACAGCTTCAAGATCACAGACTAGAACATTTTTTTTTCAAGCAGTGTATCCTGCGTGTTAACTTACGCTGAGGAAGACTGCGAAGTTCCCTTATCCATGAGGTGACACCTTGCTTATCCCTACACCGCAAGAATATACGACCTTCAGCCAGTGGTTATCCTCGACCGCTCAGTCGAACGCTTCCCACTTCTCTCCCTGGTATGTGTATAAAATACTGTATTTTCTTCTGAAGTCTCGAGAAAGCTTGTAAAGGATTATTTTTGTTTTGCAAAATAGATTCTCTACGTGGGTACCATTAGTAGTACTAATAGTAGTTTCAGTGAGAGTAATAAGAGTAGTGGTAGTAATAGTAGTAGTAGCAGTGGTAGTAGTAGTAGTAGCGTGTGCGTAGTGTAGTAGTAGCGTGGTAGTAGTAGTAGTAGCGTGGTAGTAAGGTATGTAGTAGTAGTAGCAGGTGTGGTAGTAGTAGTAGTAGTAGTAGTAGTGTAGTGCGGTGTAGATAGTAGTGAGTAGTAGTAGTAGCGTGGTAGTAGTAGTAGTAGCGTGGTAGGTAGTAGTAGTAGTTAGCGGTGGTAGTAGTAGTAGTAGTAGCGGTAGTAGAGTAGTAGTAGCGGTGGTAGTAGTAGTAGTATAGTAGACGGTGGTAGTAGTAGTAGTAGTAGCGTGGTGGTTAGTAGTAGTAGTAGAAGCGGTGTGGTGTAGTGGTAGTATAGTGGTAGTGTAGTAGCGGTGGTAGTAGTAGTGGTGAGTAGCTGGTGGTAGTAGTGTAGTGGTGGTGTGTAGTAGTAGTAGTGGTGGTGGTGTAGTGCTGGTGGTAGTAGTGTGGTGGTGAGTGTGGTGGTAGTAGTGGTGGTGGTGGTGCTGGTGGTAGTAGTAGGGTGGGTAGTGTGTGGTGGTGTATGTGTGGTGGTGGTAGTAGTAGTAGTTAGTAGGGTGGCAGTAGTTGTAGTGGTGGTGGTGGTGGCGGTGTAGTAGTAGTGGTGATAGTAATAATAGTAAATATAGTTGTAATAACTGTTGTAGTGATAGATCCTTGAGTGTTACCTTTTTCCTTTCATTATCCGGGTAACTAGTTCTGATCTTAAGACTAACTGTAGAAGTTATTGCTATAATTATTAGCATATTAACGGAGACACTAAGCCAGACACGTTTATGCAGCACCTATGAATGGAAGGTACTCAAGCTTGGTAAAACTGGAGCGGATAACAGTATAAATTTATATATTCCTATGCATGTGTTGAACTATGTTAGAGGTTCTTCATGTTTTCAATATTCCATAAGAGGGATACCAAGGACTGGAGAAGAGATGAGACTAGAGGGAGGACGGTAAGGAAAGGTAAGAAAGGGCAATGGAAAATGTCGTGTGTACACAAAATTATAGAGGTACGAAAAGCGAAGTGACCTGGCCACTTTGGGAGGGACTGAAGGAGATGATTTTTGCCACAATGACAATTGTTTGTGTTCAGATTCGCCCTTTCCATTTCAGAAAATAATGTCTTTAATAACATAGCAACAAATTATCTGCTATATTTGAATATTTCTACAGCTCAACTCTATTTTAAATTACGTTTTTCTGAGGTAAGATGCACACTTCATTCTACTTATCTGAAATATTACAAATTCCGTTGAGGAGTTTGTATATTTCGATTCGTTTAATTTGTGGAAATTTGCAGAAATTTGCCATTACTAATTTTATTACTGTAAAGATATAAAAAAGGACAGATTACAAGGTAAATCGAACACACTATGTCCATGTGAATATTCTATTATATATATATATATATATATATATATATATATATATATATATATATATATATATATATATATATATATATACAACACACACACACACACAAAACAACCACTGTGAAAGAATAGAGAAGTTCCAAGCGCTTTCGTCCAATTGATTTTCAAAAGGTTGAGAAAGTAGTATCAAGCAAGTCCATGGTCGACAGGAATATAATTGAATCTTGTTTCATAAAAAGCAGTTTTGACAATAATATGAATATTTCCTTTGGTTTATATAAATTAGATCCATTTGTAATTAATAGAATTTGGGAAGAATTTAATAATACATTGGAAAAATAATAATTTTTTAAATTTCTTATTTCTTGGGTAGAATAGTATGTTGGTGGGTTGTATGAAGGACCTGTCTAGTTCGGCCAACGGGCCTGCTGTCTCGCGTCAGGTGTTTCGTTGGTGTGGGATCTGATAGTGAGGTGTGAGCTACCCCTTTATATACCTTCCTTTGATGCTTTACTTTCATTGTTCCTTGATAATGTGAGTAGTCACGAAAGCGCTTGGAACTTCTCTATTCTTTCACAGTGGTTGTTTCGCATATTCTAAAATCACCTGTTTGCTGTGATCTTATTGCTATATATATATATATATATATATATATATATATATATATATATATTATATATTGGGGGGGTCCACCTCTGGTGTAAATTGTGGGACCCATAGCCTCGGAGAAGTGGATAAAAAGGCTTCAAGGAAGAATATTTGGATTTCTTCCTGAATCCGTTTGAATATATATATATATATATATATATATATATATATTATATATATATATATATATATATATATATATATATATATAAGCCGAAATCTATTAAAATTTTCGTTAGAATTTTAGTTGAAAAAGGCCTTGTTTTTTTTTAGTTAAGCAGACATTTAAAATGTAAAGTATTTCATCGTTTAAAAACTAAAATCATTAGAAACAATGAGTTAAACAGAAGAATTTTTATGAGATTAATCTCTACCACGATAAAACGCACAAAAATAACATCCCGTTATAAGAGGTGAACAAAGAAACACCTCAATAGTATCGACAGGGCAGTATTGATTACTTGGCCTCAACTCAGCTCAGTCCCAACTCCCTAGCCTTGCCTCCCTACCGCCGCAAGTCAAACACCGGGTCTCCTGGCCCTCCTCACTGGTCTTGGACCCCCGTTCCCAACCCCCAACAAACCTCCTCCAAATCTCGCCCCCCCTCCACCCTTACACCACTTCCGCCCACTCGCAGTCCGCCCCCCAACAACTCACCAGAACGCTGTGTGGGTTAGGCTACCTCCACTACCTACCGTCATCGTCATACTGAAATTTAAGGCTTTCTGTCTGACACTGTTTCGTCTTACTATGGTAGTGGGTTAGCAGTCAGCAATCATCTACGCAAATGCTAACGTTTTCTCACACGTGTGAAAGAAAATCCTGTTAAACGTTTTGTAATCTGGTAGGTAGGATTGGTCATTTTTTATCTCTCTCTCATGAGCATGTAGAATAGCAAGCAAAACTTGCAAATGTATACTTAAACATACAAGTGTCACTTTGTGTTCCCTGTTCACCTGCACCCCGTCCTACCTCCACTATCCCGCACCCTTCACACACCCATATCCCCTCACGCACTCCTACCCTCCACCCTCCTGCAGAACTGTTTGACCCTTTCGGGTTTTGAGCTAAAGTTAATTTAATAATAACTGTGCTTCCTAACAGTTCTTATTCCTATATTTCCTTTCCAGTTTTAAAGACCTTTAACGAGGCCGGGCAGCGGAAACGATGATCTCGTGGAATTATTTACAAATACGAGACATAACTAAAACTAACAGTCACTGTTTCTTCGTTATATTAATCAGATATAAATTATTTTCTTTTTACGGCATAATGTTGATAGAGAGCAGAACCATGCAAGAACCACATCGAAAAGCAATCTGTCTTGTTCATTGCGAGAGTTCTTAAAACAGACGCAAACTAATGTTCACCAATAATTTGTGTATATAAGCAATTCCTCAAACAGAGGCAAATCTAGCAGTGTAAGCACGTGTAAGCACGGCCACATTAGTCATCAAGTTCAGGGCTGCTTATTTGACGCCTTTATGAATTGAAGACTTATAACCACACTTTAAGTGGGCAATTTGGGTTGCAGTGTATGTGGTAGTTTGCCAACTAGTGAAGCCTTGCCATACTGAACAAACCTCATTTTGTTTGGTTTGTTACTACGAGATTTGAAGTATCCACAGTTTGAATCTACGTTTGTTTAACTAATCTCAGTTTACTAGATTTGATACTACGCCTTGTCCACTAACCTCAGTTTGGTAGGTTAAGAGCAACGTGAAGTAACCTCAGCTTTTGGGTTTAAAACTATATCGAGAAAAAGTGGGTCATTAAGGCTGCAATTCACCTGTATTTCAGAAATCACAGTTACTATAAACCCTAATACAGAGATTACAGTAAAGTTGCAATGTATAGTATATTCACTAAGGATGCACACCTGTCTGTTTATACGAAATAACTTGATTGGAGATTCGTCTGTAAAAACTTGCATTTGTGGTCACAGAGGTGCCTGTGCTAACTTTCCTATGGTGTAGAAATATACCTAGTTGGATGAATCTTATTGTGGCTAGCTGGTCTAGTGGCTAACGCGACGGGCTGGAGTTTTGAGACTCTATGACCGCGGGTTCAATCCCGGCCGGGGGTATGGTTTATTTGCAATCGTGTCATTACGATTTCTTGAGTCTTGATTGGTTAGGTTTAAATCCTATCGACTGATTCTGGGTAATGACTCATCTAACAAATAAACACTACCAGTTTTTAAATCTAACAAGTTAAGAATCACATATTCTGAATAATGATAAAAAAAGATACATACCCAGAAATATCTTAACCTGTTCTGCCAAGATAGAAATTTTCAACTAACCATATACCTGCACGGAGAGGTAAATAGCTAATAAACTTAGTGTATAAATAGCTATAAACAGTACAGTATTATTAAATAAAATTATACGAATATAATAATCAGATGTGTTTCTAGACGCGATTCAAGAAAGTTATATCCGTATTCCATAAGTCTAGTTTCCTTCGCCTCAAACATACGAGAAAGGTATCCCTGTATCCCAAAGGCTCATCTCTCCCTATATCAGTGATCTGAAGAATGTATGCCAATATCCCATAAGCCTAGCCTCTAGGTCAATGCACGCAAGAACAGTGCAAAATACGGCATAAATCTCTATTTGCTTGTATCTTTCCCTAGTTGTACACCGGCGTTGGAAATTTGAAGCTGATCGGATGAAGCGTTCTTGAGTTATAAAGGAAAACCTCGGAGACGAAAAAAAATAAAGCAACTATTTAAAGGCATAATACCCTTAGGGGATACCTAGTAATAATGTGATGGTTCACACAAAGTGTATGATTTG